ACCATGTTAGCCAGGATGGTCTCGATCTCTCCTGACCTCGTGATCCGCCCGCTTCAGCCTCCCAGAGTGCTGGGATTACAGCCGTGAGTCACCGTGCCCCACCTCTTTTTTTTTTTTTTGAGATGGAGTCTCACTCTGTCATCCAGGCTGGAGTGCAGTGGCGCGATCTCGGCCCACTGCAGCTTCCACCTCTTGGGTTCCAGCAATTTTCCTGCCTCAGCCTCCCGGGTAGCTGGGGTTACAGGCACGGGCCACCACGCCCAGCTAATTTTTGTATTTTTAATACAGGTGGGGTTTCACCATATTAGCCAGGCTGGTCTTGAATTCCTGATCTCAAGTGATCCGCCAGCCTTGGCCTCCCAAAGTATTAGGATTACAGGCGTGAGCCACTGTGCCTGGCCAAGACAAGTTCTATTATCATCAGTATTTTTTTGCTGAGGAGTTCCAGGGAGCCCAGAATTCAAATCCAGATCTGACTGCATGGTGGATTTTTCTTAATATCCTATTGAGGGGATGGGGGAACAATTACACACGTGTTTATTCATTCACTCAACAGATATTTTTGAGCACTGACTCTTACTACTCCTGGTTAGGTGGTGGGAATAGAAAGACAAGAAACAGCCCCATTTCTGCAGAAGCTCCAAGCTGAGGCCGAGGGACTGAAGGTCAACAGTTACAGCATTATGATCAGAGCTGTGACAGCCACGTGTAGAGCCCTAAGACCTGTTGATGCTGTGGCTTTCCTTGGGGCTTCCCCTGCCTCTGGCTAGTGAAGGTCAGAGTCACTGCCCCCCAGAGTGGGCTGTCAGCTCTCAGGACTCTGTGTCTCACAGCCTCATTTCTTCTCTCTGAACAGGGACTTCAAAATGAGCGTCCCTGACTACATGCAGTGTGCTGAGGACCACCAGACACTGCTCGTGGTGGTCCAGCCTGTGGGCATCGTCTCCGAGGAGAACTTCTTCAGGATCTATAAGAGGATTTGCTCTGTGAGTCAGATCAGCGTGCGGGACTCCCAGCGAGTCCTCTACATCCGCTACAGGCACCACTATCCACCCGAGAACAACGAGTGGGGAGACTTCCAGACCCACCGCAAAGTCGTGGGCCTCATCACCATCACCGACTGCTTCTCGGCCAAGGACTGGCCGCAGACCTTCGAGAAGTTCCACGTGCAGAAGGAGATCTACGGCTCCACGCTGTATGACTCGCGGCTGTTTGTCTTCGGGCTGCAGGGGGAGATCGTGGAGCAGCCGCGCACCGACGTGGCCTTCTACCCCAACTACGAGGACTGCCAGACAGTGGAGAAGAGAATCGAGGACTTCATCGAGTCACTGTTCATTGTGCTGGAGTCCAAGCGTCTGGACAGAGCCACAGACAAGTCTGGGGATAAGATCCCCCTTCTCTGTGTCCCGTTTGAGAAAAAGGATTTTGTAGGACTGGACACAGACAGCAGGTAAGTTTACCTAGAGATCCAGGCCCCTTGGCTTCCCTACATCAGAAAGGGAAAGCACATGGCAGAATTTTATTGCAGCAAGGAGTAGAAAGGTGTTGTCCATTGGTTTTTAAAACTAATGACTTCCTGTCAGAATCTGTTTGAGTGCTGCTAAAAAACCAACCAAACAAAAACCAGTGACTTTTAAAGACAGAGACAGCCTTTGGTTTGGGGGAGTCTTTTAGAGTTGTCATGTACACTCCCCTTTTTTTTAGTGGGACTCCTGGAGCTCCGTCCGATACAGCCAGTTGTGGCTTTTGAGCACTAGACACGAGGCTAGTTTGAGTTGAGATGGGCTGTGAAGAAAACCCATGCCAGATTTTGAGACTTACTTCTGCAAAAATAAACTTTCTTGCTAATTTTTTTTTTTTTTTTTGAGATAGCCTGTCTCTCAGGCTGGAGTGCAGTGGCGCGACCTCAGCTCAGTGCAACCTCCATCTCCTGGGTTCAAGTGATTCTCATGCCTCAGCCTCCCAAGTAGCTGGGACTACTGGCATGTGCCACCATGCCTGGCTAAGTTTTGTATATTTAATAAAGATAGGATCTTGCCACATTGGCCAGGCTGGTCTTGAACTCCTGGCCGCAAGTGATCTGCCTGCCTTGGCCTCCCAAAGTGCTGGGATTACAGGTGTGAACCTCCGTGCCTGGCCAACTTTCTTGCTAATATGTTTTATATAGATTACATGTTGAAATGATAGTATTTTACCTATCTTAGGTTAAATAAACTGTATTTTAAAAATCAGTATCAACTGTTTCATTTTTACTTTTAAAAATGTGGCAACTAGAAACTGAAATTTACTTACATGGCTTGCGTTTTATTTCTGTTGGACAGCACTGTGCTAGAGCACAGTTTGAACACTTACTCGGTCTCGTCCCTTTGGTTCATAGATGAGAGGGTGAATCTGGAGAGGTAAGGGCTAGGTCCTAGCTGAGCTAGAAGTAGAGCCCATGTCTCCTGATTGCCAGGCTGTGCACCCTGCGTATGTGGCTACTTTTTCTCTCCTGATGGCCGTAGTGTCAAATTCCTCACAGAGCAGCCAAGCACAGGTATCGGATGCCAGAAATGCCACCTGGGAGCTCCTAAACAGCTACCTTATACAAATGGAAGTATGTCTATTCTCTCTGTGTACGAGGAGTGTTGGATAGAGCAGGAAAAGGTCGGCTTCCCATCTTGCCTGTTATTAAGTCTAAAACTTTATTTCAAATCAGAATTTCAGATGAGCTCTTCCTTGCCACTTCCTTCCACTCTCTGCTCGCTGCTCTGTCTTGCCATGGTGGCTGTGCTGCAGAGCTGGATGAGATGCAAGCCTAGGCAGCAACTGTTTGCCAAGAGGGCGTCCCCATTTGCCAGGGAAAGTGATGTGTCACTGTGTCAGTCACTGGCCTCCTGGCTTGGACAGGGCTCTCCCTCCTCCTGTGTAGGATTGGCTGATGAGCCACAGGTGAGGATTCAGTGATGTCATGTGCATGCCACCGCAGTGCCTGCTGCAAAGTAGGTGCTCAGCATGTTTCTAAAATTTATGTAAGGTCAAACGGTGTCTTTCTGGTTGTTGGTAAGTATGAGGAGAAATGATCACAGAATTGAGACACAGTAGTCTAAGTCCAGCCCTCAGAGTTGGAAGCATAGAATAGCCTCAGTCATACCTGACTGTGGTGCTTTGCAGGGTCTGGAAGGAAGGAATTTTCATTTCTTCACCCAAATGTGCATATTTGGCTTCAGGAAAGGGAAAGGCATGCCATAGACCTGCTCTGTATTTAATCCTCACGGCAGCCCTGTGATCTACGCCAGGTTGCTGTGCTGGCTGATGTGGGGCTGAGGCAGCAAGGTTTAGAGACCTGGGCAGCCACCGAGTAGCAGAGCTGATATAAGCACCAGATCTGTCTCTGAGGCCCAGGACCTTTCTACCTCACCTCGTTGCCTTCTGCTGCGCCTCCTCTGCCTCTTAAAGAGCGCACACTGCTGTCCAGCCAGCAGGCACCTGCGGGAGTCATCCCTGATAAGGTGTTGCTCTATGCTATGCACAGCTTGGCGGCCACCTGCGAGGTCGGCAGGGAGTGGCCTGCCCCTGCTTTACAGAGAAGGGGTGAAGGGTTGAAGCTCACAGGCAGCATGGGTCAGGAACCCTGCTTTGACCCCTTGACTCATGCCTGCCTCCTTTGCCACATGAGCACCAGTGACATTTTTCAGTCACCCACTTCTTGGCTGTGAGGTTGCAGATCCACCTTTGAATGCCAGGTCTTTTTTGCCTTTTGAAATCTGTGCTCACAACCCCGCAGGAGGAACGGGAGTGTGCTGCTACGCAGTGCGTCATACATAGTGGATAATGACTGACAAGTGTTCGTTCAGAGCCTTCATATGCCAGGCATGGCTCCAGGCACTGAAAATACAGCGGCAAATACAGCTGCTTGCTCACTGTAGTGGGACAACCGCAATTAGACGTCAGTTACCATTTGAAGTTCAGTGAGATCATGACACCAGTGAACTCAAATAAAATACATCCTCCTCTCATAATGGGTAACTTGTTGTTGCTTTTGTTTCTCCATGGTTCTCCAATTTTTTTTTTTTTTTGGAGATGTCGTCTTGCTCTGTCACTCAGGCTGGAGTGCAGTGGTGCCGTCTCGGCTCACTGCAACCTCTCCCTCCTGGGCTCAAACGATTCTTCATGCCTCAGCCTCCTGAGTAGCTGGGATTACAGGTGTGTGCCACCACACTTGGCTAATTTTTGTATTTTTAGTAGAGACAGGGTTTCACCATGTTGGCCAGGCTGGTCTTGAACTCCTGACCTCAGGTGATCCGCCTGCCTCAGCCTCCCAAAGTGCTGGGATTACAGGCGTGAGCCACAGTGCCTGGCCGATTTTCTAATTTTTGAAGGAATGATTTGGTGCAGGAGCAGAGCCTTGCTCTCCCCTGCAACTCTTGGTAGGAGTGAGAAAGTATCCAACCCGGAATGGGATAGTATTTGGTAGCTCAACAGGAAATGTCCAGATGTAAGTCCAGTTATGATTTGACACACTGACCATCCTGATAGGCCCCCTGACAGATTATTCTCTCTTCAGGTCCTGGACTTCCTGGGACGTGAGGTGTAGGTGTAGTTTACTTACAAGCTCACATGTGCCCCTCACAAAAACCCATGGCCCGTTCTTGTCCGTGTAGTGTTGTAGCTATCAAAATTATTTCTGTTCTTATATGTTTCTAATTTTTGCTTGTTCCTCTTTCTTTTCTTTTTCTTTTTTTCTGTCATACTGCCCTGTGAGTGTGTTATTGGGTGTGAAAAGGTAGGCCGGGAACACGTTGCATTAAAAATAGCTAGATTTCCCTCTGCGCTGCCTTCTCATAGCCTTCACTGCTTTAAAAACAAACACTGCTGCCTAAATCTTATGTTAACTGGAGAGTCTTTTCATTTTTTTAAAATATGTTTTTTAATTTTAGCTTTGTTTTTTTTTAGCACGTAACCCATTGGCGTTTGGTGTTTGCTAAAATACTTGCTCTGGGGGATCTTGTTCAGTCTGTAGCATTTAGTGACACATGAGCCTTTATTCTTTTGTGTGTTTGTTTTGAGGACGTGAATTGCTCATTGATTTAGGCGGCTGTAGGGGGTTTTCCTGGGATAGCTTAACTGCTTGATCCTGGGCTTCTGAGCCAACGTTTCTGGCATGTGATTCCCGGCTGTGGCTGTGGGCCGTGCATGAAGGCAAGGAGCGCTGGCGCTGGAGTGTGCTAGTGGCCAGGGGAGCTGCGGGAGGGCGCGGCTGCCCGTCTTTTCTTTCGCTTCTGCCTTGAGCATGCCATTTCCCGTTTCCTTCGCCTCAGCGACTTTCCACCATAAAGGAGACATAGGCCATTCTAAAACCCACCAGGCTGGGCGCGGTGGCTCACACCTGTAATCCCAGCACTTTGGAAGGCCAGGCGGGTGGATCACCTGAAGTCAGGAGTTCGAGACCAGCCTGGCCAACATGGTGAAACCCTGTCTCTACCAAAAATAAAAAAATTAGCCGCGTGTGGTGGCATGTGTCTGTAGTCCCAGCTTACTTGAGAGGCTGAGGCAGGAGAATTACTTGAATCCGGGAGGCAGAAGTTGCAGTGAGCCAAGCTCATGCCATTGCACTCTAGCCTGGGCGACAAGAGCGAAACTCCATCTCAAAATAAAAAACAAAAAACCCACCCCCGTCTTTTGTGCCCCGTATGAGGGCTCAAGGGCAATTTGTTTAAGTATCAGGGAAATATGGCCTTCTAGTTCACTTGGATCTTGTAGACACAAGGCCCTGTATAAGTGACCACTGTTTCCTTTTTGCTTCTGCCAATGAGCATTCAGAACCAGAGAGGCAGTTCACCCGTAGCTATTGTACGGCTCTTACCTGCCCAAGATTTTCCATTTAACCTCATGTGGGTAAGACACAGCTGTGTCTGCCTTTTTTTTTTTTTTTTTTTTTTGAGACAGAGTCTTACTCTCTCACCCAGGCTGGAGTGCAGTGGCACGATCTTGGCTCACTGCAAACTCTGCCTTCTGGGTTGAAGTGATTCTCCTGCTTCAACCTCTCAAGTAGCTGGGATTACAGGCACGTGCCACCACTCCAGGCTAATTTTTGTATTTTTAGTAGAGACAGGTTTCACCATGTTGGCCAGGGTGGTCTCGAACTCCTGACCTCAAGTGATCTGTCTGCCTTGGCCTCTCAGAGTGCTGGGATTACAGGCATGAGCCACAGCGCCAAGCCTGTGTCTGTATTTGTTGACGCTAATGTCCCTCACTGGTGGCACATCATTTGTGTGCATTACTGATCTAGAGCCTCCAACACCAAGGGCAGCACTGCGGGACACTCTTTGGCTGGCCTAGTCCCCTGTGGTTTCATCCCTCTCAGGGAAAGGCTCTCATTCTGTGACCTGCTGCCACCACCTCACTGCCCAGGGGCCTTGTTTCTTCCTTAGTGCTCTAGTCCAAGTACCAACACTTCCATTCTTCGTT